CAAAATGTTTTTGTAAATATTAACGAAATTTCGTAAATACCGAACTTTTTTAAGGGAAAATTTTGTAATTATTTTAAATATCGAAACAAAAAAACCCCAAATACAAATCGATTTTAGAAACAAATTTTTGCATTGTTACCCAGGCCTAGTCTCTACTCTTCACTATTTTATCGAGATTGGTCATTGCTCTTGCGAAGCCGTGACTCCCACCGCTTGTTACTAAAAATTTAAAACCGTTCACTTGCTGCCACCAAAATATGTGAGGAAGTCTCCAAAATGAAATAATGGTGTAAAATCCCAAATAAATAGGATCACCACACAGATGTAATAAAGATTTGAGACTTCTAGCTTAAATTGCCACCATAATATAAGTGATATTGGTAAAAATGATCTCTGGTTATCCTTATCTGTGTTGTGAGGCACCTTGGGTAGTGTGGAATGCTTCAAACGTGGAAATCAGTGAAGGAGGCAAGTTTAAAACACAAAAAGAACAGGTTTATTGTTATCAGAGCGTAAATTGTTGCAAAATTAAACTGTTGAACTTGGCACAAGCTTGATGGATACAAAATGGCTTGGTTGAGTTACATTAAGTCTTCCGATGTTACAATCCTTTAACTCTTTCTACAGTGAGGTACTTTATTATTTCAGTGTTCCCTATTGTGAATATTTACAACTGTTTGTCCTTCACCGGATCAAACCAACGATCTCCAGATTTTCACCACTGGGATCCCTGAAACCCTTTCTTGTTAGATTCTTTTCTACTCAAGCAATCTAACGAGTTTCCACCTTCAGCTTCCTAGCTGGAATAATATTCACAAAACCTAAGAACTAACTGAATTTACACTACTCCACAGAGCCTCCTTGACTCTGCTACTCTCCTCAGGGTCTCATCCGCCTGACTGAAAATAAACTGTCGCTTTCAAACCTTTTTTACCTAAGCTCCGCCCACCTCCTCTGGCTTGTCACCATGGCAACCTATCTCTCTCTCAGCTAGGCCCTGGCCACAATGTAAAGCCTAAACACAGTTTGAAACACAGTATAATGAACACTTCTCTACAGCTCTCCTCCCAAGAAGGAAGCGTCTTCTGATTTCCTGGCTGCACTCTGCATCTGCAGTCATCTCCGTGCCTGGAAATACAACGTCTGTCACGGCCTCCAAGTTTTCTCCCTCTATTTGCCAGTTATTAATTAGTCTGGTTGCCATCATCTTGGTATTTTTTGATGTTACTTCAGTTTTGTCAATGCTGAATCTTCATGCCAGTCTTGTCTATATAAATAAAAATGTAATGTTCGTTTGTGATATTCACAGAACTCAAAAACCACTGGGGCAATTGGCACCAAATTTGGACACAAGAAACCTAACAGTCCTATTTATGTTCTCCACTAAAATAATAATAATAATAATAATAATAATAATAATAATAATAATAAACTGGAAAGAACTTACCCCCCACAAGGCTAAATGCCTATATAGAGCCTGTGTTAAAAGAACCCCCTCCCTCGCTCCTGCATGAGGGAAAAAAACCCAACCGCTGAGAGAGAGAGAGAGAGAGAGAGATCTCCCTCCTTTCCTTTCCTTTCCTTTCCTTTCCTTTCCTTTCCTTTCCTTTCCTTTCCTTTCCTTTCCTTTCCTTCTTGTCTCGCTGCCTCCGGAGGGATTCTGTGTGTGTGTGTGTGCCCAGAAACCTCACCCATACTGAGTTATGGGAAGGAATTCTGGGAAATGAAGTCCAGTATTCAAAGAAGGGACAAAAAGGCACACTCTGGGAGTTAGCAAAGGCTGTCCAGGAAGGCAGAAACAAAACACTCCCAAAAGATGGCCATCCATTTTTACTTTATAGCAACCCTGGGCTATAATATATCTAAAATAATAATCCACAAGCATGTGGACAATTTCAACAGAAAGGAAGAGACCATGAAAATGAACAAAATCTGGCTACCAGTATTAAAAAACTCTAAAATTATAACAGCTAAACAACAGAGAGGAAAAAACCAGGCACAGATTAACACCTCCCAGCAACAGATTTTCCCAGACTCAGGCAGGCCTTCAAATGCTAATGAAGGTGATCAGCTAAACATTCACACCTAACTGCAGCAGGGAAGAGCTCCTTGCCCCACCCCAGCCATTCCACAGATATATAAACCCATTTTTCCTACTTCCAACAGACCTTCTCAACCTCTGAGGATGCTTGCCATAGATGCAGGCGAAACGTCAGGAGAAATGCCTCTAGAACATGGCTCTATAGCCCGAAAAAACCCACAAGAACCTAGTGATTCCAGCCATGAAAGCCTTCGACAATACATTAAAATAATAATAATATCTATATATCTATCATAATAATATCTACCAATCTATAATATATATGTCTATGATATCTATATGTCTTTAACAATAATATCTACATTTCTATCATAATATCTATATGTAATAATGTCTATATGCCTATAATAATATCTACAGGTCTATAATAATATTCATATGTATATAATTATAATATCTGTCTGTCAAAAATATCCGTACATTTATAACAATAATACCTATATGCCTATAATATCTATGTGTATAATAATAATATACGGGTTATATCCCGTATAGACTACTGCAACGCTCTCTACATGGGGTTGCCTTTGAAGACTGCTCGGAAGCTTCAAATGGTCCAGCGTTCTGCAGCCAGGTTGCTAACAGGAGCAGCACTCAGGGAGCGTACGACTCCTCTGTTGTGCCAGCTCCACTGGCTGCCAGTTTGCTACCGGGCACAATTCAAAGTGCTGGTGTTCGCCTATAAAGCCCTAATCGGTCCTGGCCCTACTTACCTCTCCGAATGCATCTCCTCCTATGAACCGGCTAGGACCCTAAGATCATCTGGGGAGGCCCTGCTCTCGGTCCCGCCTGCATCACAGGCGCGCTTGGCGGGGACGAGAGACAGGCCTTCTCAGTGGTGGCCCCTCGGCTGTGGAACGCCCTGCCTGCAGATATCAGATCGGCCCCCTCCCTGCTGGCGTTTCGGAGGAAAGTGAAGACCTGGCTGTTCGAACAAGCATTTGATTAAACAGTGTAATTGAACATAGAAATACGGAATAATGGATGATGTGACTGGATTCTGATTTTACTGTTGAGGCGCTAATGATTGTTATACGGATGTTTAATGGTTTATGTTACAATTGTTTTTAATTGCCCTATACTTGTCTCATGATGTTTTGTATGGATGTTGTTCACCGCTTTGAGTTGCCTGAGGGCTGAGAAAAACGGTATAGAAATAAAGTAAATAAATAAATAAATAAATAAATAAATTGCATTTAAACACAATATACCACAGAAGCATAACAAATCCAAAAAAAATACATAAAATGCAAAACCAATATAATGAGCAACACAGCAAAATCAAATCAAAACATTAAAAACACAGAGGATTAGACTGGGCAGGGCCAAATTCAATGACAAAATTTTAAAACACAGGGAGAAAGGACAATATAAATTATCGGGGATGAGGAAAGATTTAATTGCACGGACCATAAAATAAAGTGCTTCTGAGGCCATTTTATGCAAAGTTTGGTCAGGGAGTTTCTTACATTCAGTCATTGAAGGCACATTGGAATAACCAGGTTTTCAGGTGCTCCTGAAGATTGCCAGTGTGGGGGCTTGCCTAATATCTCTGGGGAGCGAATTCCAGAGCCGGGGGGCCACCCCAGAGAAGGCCCTCTCTCTCGTCCCCACAAGTCGCACTTGCAATGCGGGCGGGAGCGAGAGACGAGCCTCTCTGGAAGATCAAAGAGGTTGTGTGGGTTCGTAGACAGAAATGCGGTCGTGCAGGTAGGCAGGTCCCAAACCGTTCAGGACTTAGTAAGTCAAAACCTGCACCTTGAATTGGGACTGGAAAATAAATGGCAGCCAGTGGAGCTCCTTAAACAGGAGGGTTGACCACTCTCTGTAATTTGCACCAGTTAGTAGTCTGGCTGCCACCCGTTGGGCCAATTGGAATTTCCATGTCGTCTTCAAGGGTAGCCCCACGTAGAGTGCATTGCAGTAGTCCAATCTAGAGGTAACTAAGGTGTGGACTATCATTGTCTGGAGTTCTCCTGTTTCTGAGTGGTGATCCTTATTTATTGTCTTGATTCTGGTGCTTTTTCAGTAATGGAAGTGCAAGAAAAATATCTTTGAAAAATAACCATTATGACTGCAATAGTTTCTTTTCAGCAACCTCATAAACTATAACTGTAGCGCAGTGTTTCTCAACCTGGGGGTCGGGAACCCTGAGGGGGTCACGAAGGGGTGTTGCAGGGGTCACCAAAACCCATCAGAAAACATAGTATTTTCTGTTGGTCATAGGGGTTCTGTGTGGAAAGTTTGGTCAAATTCTATCGTTGCAGGGGTTCAGAATGCTATTTCATTGTGGGTGAACTATAAATCCCAACAATTACAACTCCCAAATGGCAAGGTCTATTTTCTCCAAACTTTAGCAGTGTTCCCATTTGGGCATATTGAGTATTTGGAACTACAACTCCAAAAACTCAAGGTCAATGTCCACCAGACCTTCCCAGTATTTTCTCTTGGTCACGGGAATTCTGTGTGCCAAGTTTGATTCAATTCCATCATTGGTGGAGTTCAGAAGGCTCTTTGATTTTAGGTGAACTATAAATCCCAGCAACTCCAGCATTACCAAATGACAAAATCAATCACCCCCAACCCCACCAGTATTCAAATTTGGGAGTATTGGGTATTTGTGCCAAATTTGGTCCAGTGACTGTAAATACATCCTGCATATCAGATATTTACATTACGATTCATAACAGGAGCAAAATTACTATTATAAAGGAGCAACGAAAATAATGTTATGGTTGGGGGTCACCACAACATGAGGGACTGTATTAAGGGGTCACAGCATTAGGAAGGTTGAGAACCACTGCTGTAGCGTGATAGGTATATTTGAAAGCATGAGCTCGCAACGGGCTCTGCCATTCAAACTTAATGAGCTGTTTCCTTTCTCTTTCTCAAAATAAAGGATCATCCACGAAGATGGCTTCTCCGGAGAAGACGTGAAACAATACAAGCCCGTGGTCTATAGCAACACCATCCAGTCGCTGGCTGCCATCGTTCGCGCCATGGACACGCTGGGCATTGAATACGGCGACAAGGAGCGGCGGGTGAGTCACGAACTGATAGACAAATGTATTTGTAAGCGAAAGGCGGACAAAATCAAAAGAAGGCGCAATCCCATTTCATTGGTTTCTCCATGAGTTTTTGGAGTTGGGTCTGGTTACGCTTTGGGTCAAGGCTCCTGAATGTGAGTTGACCTAGTTTGGTTCCTAATTTGATCCAAAATGAAGCCCATAAGGCAGTGGGGAATGTATTTTGCAATGTTCCATTTGCTCAAATCACCTTTACAAGGACATTATTATGTTATGCTGTTACTGCGCTATGGCGTCATCTCGGTGTCATCCAACATCGATGCTTAATTTTTGCTGCATTTGTCTCAATATAAAGCTTTTCTTGACCCCAGAATCGAAAGGAAAGCATTTCTCTGATAGTTCATTATATTCCAGGCGATGTGTGTAATGGTAAACATAAAAATTGTGAATCATCATCATGAAAACGTTGGCTGGTATTTCGTATTGCAGTGATGAATTCGTAACCCCGAGATATGGATCTGTAACTGATCTATGTTCCGTAAGATTGCGTAAGATTACGTGGAAGGCTATGTAACTACCAAACAAGTCGGTCTTAAGAGCCAGCAATTATAAGCCAGGATTCTCATGCCTATCTATCTATCTATCTATCTATCTATCTATCTATCTATCTATCTATCTATCTATCTATCTATCTAGTATATATATCTACCTATCTAATAAGCCAAAGTTGTGTATGTTTGGTAGTTGGTGCCACAAAGGTATGGATGTGGATCAAACTTGGCCCATAGACCCTTTATTATAAATGGCTTGGCTGCCGCTAAGTGTCCTGTGGATGAGGGTAAGAGAGGAAGGAAAGAAAGAAAGAGAAAAAGAAAGGGGAGAAAGGGGAAGGAAAAAAAGGAAAAGGAGGGGAAGAAGAAAGGAGGAAGGAAAGAAAGAAGAGAGGGAGGGAGGGAGAGGAAAGAAAGAAAGAAAGAAATAAAGAAAGAAAGAAAAGGCAAAGGAAAAGAAGGGAAGGGAGAAAGGAAAGGAAGAGGGGAAGAGAATGGAAAGAAAGAAGAGAGGGAGGGAAGAGAAGAAAAAAAAAAAAGAAAAAAAGAAAAAAAAAAAAAAAGAAAGAAAGAAAGAAAGAAAGAAAGAAAGAAAGAAAGAAAGAAAGAGAAGGAAGGAAAAGAAGGAAGGAGAAAGGAAAAGAAGAGGGGAAGAGAAAGGAAAGAAGAGAGGGAGGGAGGAGGAGGGAAGAGAAAGAAAGAAGAAAGAAAGAAAGAAAGAAAGAAGAAGAAAGAAAGAAAAGGGAGGAGATAGGAAAGAAGAATGGAAAGGGAAGGAGAAAGAAAGGGAAGGAGGGAAGGAGGAAAGGAAAGGGGAGAAAGGAAAGAAAGTGAGAGAAGGAAAGAAAGAAAGGGAAGAAAAAGAGAAAGCAAAAAGAAAAGAAAGAAAATAAGAAAAAGAAAAGAAATAAAGTCAAGAAAAATAAATAGGGATAAAAAAAAAAAAATCTTAAATGAGATAAAAAAAAAGAAAAGGGAAAAACAAAGAAAAAGAAAAGAAATAAGAAAAAAGAAAAATAAAAAAAAAATAAAAAAAAAAAAAAAAAAAAAAAAATAAAAAAAAAAAAAGAAGAAAATAAAAAAAAAAAAAAAAAAAGAAAAAAGACAAAAAAAAATAAAAATAAGAAATAGAAAAAGAATAGAATAAAATAAAATAAAAAGATATGAAAGATACGAATCACAATAAAGAAAGAAAAACAAATAATAAATAAGAAAGAAAAAATAAACAACATTAAAAAAAAAAAAGAAAAAAAAAAAAAAGAAAAAAGAATAGAAAAAGAAAAAAGGAAAAAAAGGAGAAGGAAAAGGAAAAAAGAAAAAGAATAAAAAAAAAAAAAAAAAGAAAAAAAAAGATAAAAAATTATATAAAAGAGAAAGATAAAAAAAAAAAAAATAAAAAAAAAGAAGAAAAAGAAAAAAAGAAAAAAATAAAAGAAACGAAGAACAAAAAAAAAATAAAAAATAAGAATAAAAAAAACTAAAAAAAAAAAAAAAGAAAAAAAAAAAAGAAAAAGAAAAACAAGAAAAAAAGAAAAAAGAAAAAAGAAAGGAAAAAAGAAAAAAGAAGAGAAAGAAGAAGAAGAAGAAGAAGAAGCACAAGAAAAAAAAAAAAAAAACAAACAAACAAAGTAAACAAAATAAATAAATAAAATAAATAAACAAATAAAATAACTTAAAAAAATTAAATTAAATAAATAAATAATAATAAAAAATAATAATAACAATAACAATAATAATTATACACACAAGCTGAATTAAAATTAAAACAAAAATAATATAATAAAAATTAATAAAATACATCAATAAACAAATAAACTATAGAAATCTAAAAACATAAGGATTCACTCAAAAGTTATAAATACTAGCAGTTTTGCACCAAGACTCTACACCGCAGACAAATAAAACAAAGAAAGAAAGAAAGAAAGAAAGAAAGAAAGAAAGGGCAAAGGAAAAGAAGGGAAAGGAAGGGAGAAAAGAAAGGAAGAGGGGAAGAGAAAGGAAAGAAAGAAGAGAGGGAAGGAGGGAAGGAAGGAAGGGAGAGAAAGGAAGAAAGAAAGAAAAGAAAAGAAAGAAAGAAAGAAAGAAAGAAAGAAAAAGAAAGAAAGAAAGAAAGAAAGAAAAGGCAAAGGTAAAGAAAGGAAGGGAAGGGAAACCAAGGGAAAAAAGCAAGAGAGAAAAGGTATATTAGGGGAAGGAAGGAAGGAAGGAAGGAAGGAAGGAAGGAAGGAAGGAAGGAAGGAAGGAAGGAAGGAAGGAAGGAAGAGAAGGAAGGAAGGAAGGAGGGAACCAACACAAACGCATGCGGGTTGAGTGTGCCGTATCTCTGTCAAAAGCAGGCACTTCCTCTGTTCAACAGTTAGAAAATTCCTCCTTGCACAGAATCATGCTGTGAAATTTTTCAATAGGGTGGAAGAAATGAACGAAATTCATTCTTAGGCGTGGCATCGGTACCATATCTAAGAAACTGAAGCTGGTGGGGTCGATCCAATGCCATTTTCTGAATCAGAGCCCCAAAGAAGCCCAGGAACAGGAGAATGTTGTGAAATAATTTACGCCAAGTAGGATAGGGAAGCAATAAACTAAAAAAAATTAGCAAATGTTGTGAACTACAAGAAAGTCTGGAGCTAAAGCAACTCAGATCTCCAATTGGCTTTTGGGTGACCGGAGATACCCCCCAAGCCACACTTTGACAACTCTTTGGCTTGCACCGAGCTCTCCAAGGGTTTTGTGCACCGACACCCCCTCGAAGTACGTGCCTCCTTGCACTTCCCGTGCATAATGCCTGCCGCCTTCTGCTTAGTGGCACCTGTGGCTCATGCGCAAGTCTCAACAAACGAATGCTTCTTCTGATAGTTCATTATATGTATTTATGCTCAACAGACAGGTTAGCAGTGTGCCTTCTTCACAGCTGGCATGTACAGTGCCATGCTAAGGATGTGGCCATGCTCAGCATAGCCAGAAACCAAGATTATACACATTTTATCAGCAGTGAAAACCTAAGCTTCAGCTGAAGAGGTTTCTGGAGGAATTAGGCTATGAAGTTAGCAACTGCTACTACTACTACTACTACTACTACTCCTGCTATGACTACTACTCCTTTTCCTTCTCCTCCCGCTCCTCATCCTTCTCCTTTTTTCCTTCTTCCCCTTCTTCTACTTCTTCTCCTTCTTCTCTTTCTCCTTCTCCTTCTTCTCATTTTTCCTTCTTCTTCCTCCTCTACTTCTCCTTCTTCTTTTCTTTTTTTTTCTCCTTATTTTTTTTCTTCTAATTAATATACGTATACTTATACTTATTATATAATAATCATAATTTTAATAATTAATAATTAATAATTAAAATAATATAATTTTTTCCTTATTATTTCTCATTATTATTATTCTCTTTATAATTCTACATTGTCAAATCTCATTCACATAATTTATTCTTTCTATTATACTTATCTTCTTCTTGTTCATTCCTACCTTTTGTTCATCTCATTATTCTTTGACTTATTATTTTATTATTTTATACATATTAGATTCCCTGCATATCTTAATATCCTTTTTCCTTATTCACCTTATCCACTCCTATCTTTCTCAATTCTCATTCATCCATATAATTTTTTCCTCCTCTTCTTCTGCTATTATTTCTACTTATATCCTCCTTCTCTTCCTCCTTCTCCTTCATCTCCTTTTTTCCTTCTTCACCTTCTCCTCCTCCTCCTCTTTCTACTTCTCCTTCTCCATCTCATTTTTCCTCCTCTTCTTCTTCCTCTTCTTTTCCTTCTCTTTCTCATTCTACTTCTTATGTTTTCCTTCTCTCCCTTCTTCTTCTTCTTCTCATTCTTCTTCCTTCTTCTTCATCCTCCTTCTCTTCCTCCTTCTCCTTCACCTCCTTTTTTCCTTCTTCTTCATCTTCTTCTTCTCCTTCTTCTCCTTCTCTTTCTACTTCTCTTTCTCCATCTCATTTTCCCTCCTCTTCTTCTTTCTTCCTCTTCTTCTCCTTCTCCTTCTACTTCTTATGTTTTCCTTCTACTTCTCTCCCTTCTCCTTCTCCTTCTTCTTCTTCATCCTCCTTTTCTTCCTCCTCCTTCTTCTCTTTCTTCTCATTTTTTCCTTCTTCTTCTTCATCCTCCTTCTCTTCCTCCTTCTCCTTCTTCTCCTTTTTCCTTCTTCTTCACCTTCTTCTACTTCCCCTTCCTCTCTTTCTACTTCTCCTTCTCCATCTCATTTTCCTCCTCTTCTTCTTCCTCCTCTTCTTCCGCTTCTCTTTCTCTTTCTACTTCTTATATTTTCCTTCTCCTTCTCTCCCTTCTCCTTCTTCTCATTCTTCTTCCTTCTTCATCATCATCTTTTCTTCCTCCTTCTCCTTTTTTCCTCCTCCTCCTCCTCCTCCTCCTCCTCCTCCTCCTTCTCTTTCTTCTTCTCCTTCTCCTTCATATTTTTTCCTTCTCCTTCTCTTTCTTCTCCTCATTTTTTTCTCTTT